TCTGCCAGGCAGCCCCAGCCGTGCTGGGACCAGTGCTCCCGGTCAGGGCGGCTCCTGGGGACACGCACGAGTACGTGGTGGAGACCAGGTCCTCGCCTGATGGCAGCCCGAGGGCCCCATTCGAGGCCCCGCTCCCTGATGCTCCACTTAGGAATTTTGGTAGCACCGCTTGTTCGGGATTTCGGGTTATGCGACGTGCCGTGAGGCGATTTAAGTCCACACCTAGGCCTTTGTGCTTAGTAGCACCACCCAAATCGGCCAGCTCCGCTTCTCAGCCTTGTGCAAATGAGCCCTGCCAACATTTTAGCACCCCCGTGTATATGCTGACACTGTGTTCGTCGTGCTGAGAGGCTGTTCTGCCTCCCCGAAGACCAGGCTCATCGACGCAAGAAACTGGTGCTTCAGCACCAGGGAAATGGTCACGGTTGTAAAGAGGAAAAAAACATTTTAGCCCTGTCCTTGATGCAAAAAGGGAATATTGGATACATTAAATTGCCAGCTGTATAGGGTGAGCAGGGGCTAAAGGCCCCTCTGCTCTCTCCTGTGAAATGTAAAGTTTGAAAGAAGAACTGTGACTGGAGTCGGCTGATCTGTGAGGTTGCCAGGCCAGGCACGTGGAAGGGAAAGCCTTTTTATCTACCATTAACTTCTGTTTCTTGATGAGCACTGTAGAGCAACAGATACGATTAAAAACTACCTGAAAATAGATGTTAAGATCAAAATGAGTCTTGTCAACCAAGGAATAAAAGCCTTATTGTGTGGCAGTCTGCCAGTGTACTACCAGTCTAAAAATTTGATTTCAGAGTCTAGAAATAGTTCTGTTGTTCAGCAAGTCCTGCTGTAGCCTTCAGCACAGGTGAGGATCTTGTGCCAGGAAGAATGGAACTGCTTTACAGCTGGTAAGTAAATTTCAAAGAGGATTATTGGCAGCAATTGCATTTTACATGTCCAAAGGATATAAAACCAAATACAAATCGCTGGGCATTTGCTGTATTCGAGCAATGTCTAGGTAGCACAGCATTTCCAAGTGAAAATGATAACTGCCAGAGCTGGGTATCTGGTTTGATTTAATTCCTACTGAGCACTGCATTGAAACAGAAATTGAAGTAAAGAAAGGTTAGGTCGCTCAAAAAGACATGAAAACAAATGGAGTTTTTCCCTATTAAATGGATCATTGTCAACGGATGGGAGGTTTTTTCCTGTCAGACTAGTGAAATAAGTGCTGACAAAAATTTTGCTTTCTGTATTGCCACAAAAATTGCAGTGCCGTGTGGTGCCAAACCCAGTGCAGTCAGTCTATCATGAAAAACAAAACCAAAAAATTCCTCTTAGGAGGTCCCTTGTATCATTACAAAGAGCTGAACTTCTCTCAGCTTATGCTAAAAATCTCTTAAATGGAAAACCAGGCCATACTGGAGCGCCAGGCCATGTCTCCACTTTTCTTCTTGTAGGTGGGAAACTACTTGCGTATGTTTCGGGGTTCCCTGTACAAGAGATATCCCTCGCTCTGGAGGCGACTAGCCACAGTGGAAGAAAGGAAGAAGATAGTGGCCTCTTCACATGGTGAGAAGATGAATAAACATTCCCAGTACTCTTTGAAATCTGAAATTTTGCCTTGAAAAACTGGCGATTCAGAAGCTCGTGCACCTTTAGGGCTGGGCGAATCACTTTGGATTGCCCCAGTGATGGAGCGCTCTGCAGTGCTGGCACTGGTAGCTCCTGGTTCAGCCTAGCAACAAACATCAACTGATCAAAAATGTTCTAAGATCAAAACATCCATCATGGCTTTCCTGGGGTTGGCTGCATTCATCACAAGGCAAAAGCCACATCTCAGAATCAGTACCCTATTCCAGGAGAGACTTTCACAGGCAAAGAGGGGCATTTTTGTCCCCTTTGTCAAATAGGCGGGAGCGTTGCAAGGATGCCCCACTGAAAATGTGCGTCTTTGCTTAACTTTGCGTCTTGCAGGGACTGAATGTTTGTGCCTCCCAGAACTTGTTGTGGTGTGTTGCTGATGTGACTGCCACAGTGAGAATATAGCTGCCTCTGCATTGTATTTGGTGGGAGACTAATAACAAGCAGTTACATTTCTTAGCCATATGACTTCTTGTACACTGTTTAGACTAAAACATAATAAAAATAAATGGTTTATTCTGGACTTATGTCTCCTTCCTCCCAAGTATCCTGCTGACCTGTTGCTTTCTTTCCTTTTTTTTTTTTTTTTTTCCCTTCCCCAACAGAAAATCAGCGGTCTCACAGTCCCAGAAGATGTAAGTCTTATCTGTGTGTTATTCTTAGCTGTGGTAGAGGAAGAATCTCTACTGTGACCTTTGGTGCTATTACAATATATATTAATGTCTGATCCTCTTCCTCTGAACTCTCCCTGTGGTCGCCCTAATTGCGTGTCCTGATCACACGCTTAACTCTTGTTCTTGTAACCTCAGCAGGACTCTCAAATGCAGATGGTCTCTGTAATTCAGCAAGAGCTGTCCTGAGGTTTCTCCCCCTTTCCCAAGTCTTATCAGCTTTTTCTATCGATCACTCCCTCTCTATTTCCTTTAAGTCCACTGAGGGTTTATTGTATCCTGGGCTTTTCCTGCCAGAAGGCTGTGGAAGAGATTTTACATCATTTTGGCAGATGTAGGTGCGCAGAGCTAAACCAAATGTCATTGCAAAGGGCAACTCAGGATAGGGAAGAATTGTTTTTCTCTTCCTCTCCTTAAGTAAAAGCAGGTCAGATTTAAAGTTGATCTAATAATTACGAGGATTTAAGGACTTTTTCCTGAAGTTTTGTTTTGTAGCATTCAATTCCATCTTTAGTAGATTTCATAACAGAAATGACCAGAGTCTATACATAAGTTGTACCCTGGAAGCATGAGATTCATCCAGTGGTAGTACCCGAGGGAAGCTCATGTAATTCTAACCTTCCCCGTCTCTGGACTCTTACTCCAAATGAAAGATGTTTTTAATAGAGTATAGACGGGGTAGCTATACAGGGTAAAGAGATATTGATGCCTTTTGCAGATCTTTGCTCTCTCACTGTGCGACCATTCCAAGGTGTCATCCTGCTTTTGTCTTTAGAATTGTATTTCTTCTCTAGACTGTGGTGGGGGTTGCCATGTATTAACTAAGACATTCCACCCCTGCTCCCAGGAAAGTCACATTTATTCCTCCTGCTTAGATGGATATCAAAACCAGATTATATTTTTCTAGTGCCAGGCACTGTGGCTGGGCTTCTGGTCACTCCAGTGCAAGTAATCTACCCCAGTAGCAGAGCATCCTGGTGTGTGAGAGAGAGCGGAGGCTTCTGGCAACTCAGAAATGGCAGTGGAAAGTTTTGTCATCTCCATTTATCCCACGTGTACAAAATGCCATGTCAAAACCTTTCTCAAAAATTAAACATCTACGAGAAGATAAATTAAGCCCATGGGACTTTTGGGGCACATGCTCATACCACTGGGTAACCTATTCCAGTCCCTCCTGTAGTAGCAGGGAGGGCTTTTCACTGTGCAGCCTATTCATGCTACCTTGCTGTGTAGTATTTTTCCATGTTAATTATTGGCATCTTTCCTGGTAATAGATCATGGCTATACAACACTAGCCACTAGTGTGACACTGTTAAAGGCCTCTGAAGTGGAAGAGATCTTGGACGGAAATGATGAGAAGTATAAGGCAGTGTCTATCAGCACAGAGCCTCCCACCTACCTCAGGTAACCAGCGTCGGTGAGGGCCAAGATGAGAACAGAGCTGCTTGGAAGATGTCAACTTGGGCAGGAAGCAGGAGAAATTGCATAAACCTAGGCCATTGTGTGGGGGGGAGCTTGCCAGTCTGTGCTGACAGCTGTTTGCAGGGTTGGGCAAATTAAGATCTCCACAGCATAAGGATTGGGTTACTGCCCACATAAAACAGGAAGGAAAACACAAGTGTTTGGTGATACAGCTCTTTTTGCAATTACTGCATTCCAGCTGTGACAGATGTTTTTCAGAGCATGCTCTCTGCACATACAGTCTTCTGGAGATGGCGCATTTATCAGTGGTGCCTTTATAAAGTATGGACAGAAAATCCAAATATGAACCTAGTATTTATAATGGTGCACCTGGATTCATATCTGATGACTAATTGTGAGCTGGAGAATGGGCTTCCCAGAGGCTAGTGTGGAACATGAGTTCTCAGTGGAACAATATTGTTGAGGGTTCCAGAACAAAATAGCAGGAGTTCATAATAGGACTTAAAAGTTTGAAATTATACCATTCCTTAAGTAGTAGCAGTGGTGCTTGGGGTCTCAGCTTAATATACAGTCTCCTTCTTCAGAGAACAGAAGGCAAAGAGGAACAACCAGTGGGTACCGACCCTGCCCAACAGCTCTCATCACCTGGATGCAGTGCCGTGCTCAACGACGATTAACAGAAATCGCATGGGCAGGGATAAGAAGAGGACATTCCCTCTGTGGTAAGACCAGCTTGCTGCTTCCGAAGAGTGGAAACGGTTACCAATGTCACGATGCACTGCCAGGGTAGTGCTGATGTGTTGTTACAACGTTGTGATTCATCTCAAACTGACAAAAGACCTGTGGGTCGCTAATTTGGACGTTCTTAGTTAAACTGTGTGTCTTGAAGCTCTTCCTTACAGTGGCCAGCCATGGCTCAGAGAGGAGGCTTGCCTTTTGTCAGGAAAATAGTTTGTTCTTTTCCTGAGGAGTTGCTACTACTTTCTGCTGATTTGCCGAGCGGTTGTCGTTTGAGGAGCCTGCAGGCCCTCTCTGTGAAGGACAGGCTGCCTCTCACTGACATATTCCAGTAACTTAGATTAATTTATTCAGTGGAAAATGCTGCTGTGGCTCATGATTAAGTTTTATTTTCCATTATAGAAGTTGAAGAAACTGAGATAAAATGTAATCCTGGAAAGCTTCCTTGTTTTATTTGCAGGAGTGTATTGTGATAGATGCAGTAAAGTGATAAACTGGTATTGGTTGCCATAGCCCTGTAGGGTTGTGCTGAGGAGTCTGCCTAAGGACTCGTCGGGGGGGTTGGAGCATGGGGATTGCTTCCCTCTAGGGATGCCAGATGTGTCACGTGCTGGTTGCATATACCATGTTGTTTGCTCTTTGTATTAGCTTTGATGACCATGACCCAGCAGTGATCCATGAGAATGCATCCCAGCCAGAGGTTCTGGTTCCAATCAGGCTTGATATGGAAATTGATGGGCAGAAACTCAGAGACGCGTTTACGTGGAACATGAATGGTATGTAGGAAGGAGAATTTCCTGAGGCTGGAGGGATGTAGTTTTATCCATCACCAAATACGAAGAGAGAACAAGCATGAGTGTGCATGTCCTTGCCCCATATACACAAAACTTTAGAGCTTTCCCACTTTGGACTGTATTCAGCTCCCATGTCTCTTAGCGAATGTTCTGCCACTTCCATGGGTTGCAG